CCAGGTAGAGTTTTATTGGAAGGCTTGTGAGAATACGGATTTATTGTGCGTACGAATGCAAGCAGCTGCCCCAGGCGGGCAGTAAGTGGGTAGGTCATAAATAAGAGGCTATTTCCTGTACCAGATCTGAATCTTCTTCTCCCGTTTGATTTTCTTCTGAAGCTGCAGGATTCCATAGAGCAGAGCTTCAGCAGTAGGTGGGCAACCTGAGAGAGAGAAAAAGGAAGCCCACGGGGCCGCTAGCTGCACTGAAAGGTAGCCAGCAGGAGCACCGACAAGCCACGGGCTTTACCCCAAAGCAGGCTGTAATTTCCCTCTGGCTTTGTGTACGACACAGGCTGCAGAGTTCATAAAGCAAGAGGGCTGCTTTAGTTTAGAGAAGCTAAAGCGATGGTGTTTTTTGAAAAAGCTCTTTATAAAACATGGAAATGCTGTGCTTTTAAGCAAGGAGGTATCTCACAGGAGAGTACGTTGTTGACTAAACTACAGTCCACACTTTACACAACAGTTACTGCCGAGTAACATCACCAGAACTCCACTCGCTTACTGGAAACCCCAGGCAGATCTTACTGAAGCATCTGCAGCTTCAGCAACGCAGTTTGCAACAGAAAGATCTTTAAAAACTACTCCAGGCACCGTCCAAACACACAAAATTAACTTTACTCCTGTCCTGCCCCGAGTCAGTGCCCAAAGCAGAGCTCAGCTTTCCTACCTGGCACGTAGATGTCCACTGGCACAATGCGGTCGCAGCCCCTCACCACGGAGTAGGAGTAGTGGTAGTAACCCCCGCCATTGGCACAGCTGCAAGAGACGGGCGGGTTTCAGCGCGTTGTGAAACGCGAGCTCAGCAACCCTGAAACGCTTTCAGGGTGAAAGACGAGCAGGAGGCAAAGGAGAAGGCGAACCCAGCACCCGAGCGCGGTGAGGCAAGGAGCCACCCGACAGATTTTACTGCAAGGGATGGAGTGGATGCCAAGGTTTAGCCCGTGGCCGTTCAGCCTCCTCGCAAAACCTGGCTGGAAGATGGAGGCCACGCTCCCAGGCTGTCACGTTTCAAGCTGAACCAAACCAAACCAAACCAAACTGTTTTCATTACTCTTACAAAGCAGATATCCAGAGGGTCCTTCCTCTCTACCGCAAAACCTTTTTTATTTTGCCACATCTGCACAGAGCATTTCTAGAACTCGTTCTGTCCCCTCCGGGCCCTGGTGAAACGGCCGCCCTCGGCCCCAGCAGCTCCGGGAGATGAACAAGTTGTCAGTTTATAGAATCATCGAGTCGTTTAGGTTGGAAAAGCCCTTTAAGATCATCCAGTCCAACCATTAACCTAACACTACCAAGTCCACCACTAAACCAATTAAGGGCAGAGTCATAATTAATTTCATATTTCCTGGCTTGGTGGCTGGATTATTTTGTAATGAAAGTAAAAACTAGGAATCATTAAGGTTGGAAAGGATCTCTAAGATCATCAGCCCAACCATCAACCCAACACCACCATGCCCACTAAACCATGGCCCAAAGTGCCACATCTGCCCATTTTTTGAACCCCTCCAGGGCTGGGGACTCCCCCATCTCTCTGGGCAGGGCTGTGTTCTCCCCCACCGCTCTGGCCAGCCTGTTCCAATGCTTGACCCCTCTTTCCATGAAGAAATTTCTCCCAATATTCAACGAAAACCTCCCCTGACGCAGCTTGAGCCCATTTCCTCTTGTCCTATCAGTTCCAACACACCAGAGCTCCACGGAGCTCAGATTTCATGCTACACAGTAGAAGCATTTTGAAAGCTTTTGTCTAAATGCAAATTCTGTGATTCTGGACATATACAAGTCCCCAGACTCTGACAGCTGCAAAAATCCCAGAATCTTTCACTGGGAAGACTCTGCAGTTGAAAGTGACTTGACAGACATCATTCTCCTCACCCTAATCAAAGGGTCTTTATTTTTCACTTGCACCAAGGCCTCTTTATATAATTTAATGGCTTGGAAATACAAATGAGAAACGGGTTCCCTTCCCTTCATCTCCCTGCTCAGGCAGAGACACCAGACTTCTCCCGTGCAGCACAAGGCGATAAGGACGTCCCAGCACTCACCTCCCCATGGAAACCACGTAGCGAGGCTCCGGCATCTGGTCGTAGACCTGCAGAACACAGACATTTCAGACCGCTTCACATCCGCATCCAGCGCGCGCAGCAGCACTCAAGGCATCCACCGCAGTCTGTACCTTTCGAAGAGCCGGAGCCATTTTGTTTGTCAGGGTGCCGGCCACAATCATGACATCAGCTTGCCGGGGACTAGCTCGAAAGACCACCCCAAAGCGGTCCATGTCGTAGCGAGGAGCCGCCATGTGCATCATCTCCACAGCGCAGCACGCCAGGCCAAACGTCATCGGCCATAAGGAGCTCTGCAACGGGAGAGACGCGGGTTATGGGTAAGGACGCTGAAAGCAGGAGCTGAGACCCTGGGTGGGTGACTCAAAGAGCAAGAGCTAATCAGACAGAAAAGGAAACAGAACAAAGTTTCAAGGTCTGTTTAGTCAGAGCATCATAAACAGTAAACGGTGTTTGCCATTACACAGGAGAGCAAAACCCGCAGCTCCAGGGAAACAGGCGCATAGAGACCCGCGCGTCTGCAGCCTCGGAGATGCCGAACGTGCTCGAAGCCGCAGACGCTCCCCTTTACCTCTCATGCTGCTAAAGCGGCCACCTCAGAAGCCCCACACAAGGGCGGCAGTGACTGGAGAAGGCAAAACTCAGCTGAGCCAGTCTCCTGGGCAGCCTTCTCCACGGCACGGAGCAGCCGCTCGTTACAGGGACTACGTAAAACCAGAAAGCGCCTTTTGCTCGTTACTGAAGGACAGCTCTGTTTAGACAGGCAGCCTGCGCTGCTTTGCAGCACCCTCATGTGAAGCGTCTCCCTCCCACTCTGACACCGTACCCCAAATGTCAACCTCCGGCCAAGAAACTTGGCTATTTCCCTGCGGAGAATATTGAACGTATTTTTAGCCTGAGGAGGAGATGGCTCAAATCCATTTCCCACCAGCACCTCAAAGCATCTGATACCATTTCTCCCTAGCGAGCGAGACAGTTTCAGCGACTCACCCTTCGCGCCCAGTTGATCAGGTCATCGAGTTTGGTGACAATATATTCGCCTTTGCTAGTGGGGACGTAGGATTTTCTCTGGACAACAGCTGAGCTCTTTTGCTGGACTTGGAGAGAGCTGAAGACAAACGGCGCAGTAGTATCAGTCTCCACTGCAGAATACAATCATTAGCCTCGAGGAGCTGTTATCCCATAAAGAATCCATGGTATGTTGCTTATGGACAGTCTCACACCCTCTGTTACCGCTGGAGACCGTGTTTATAGCAAGGTTTTTTCCCCCCCAACTGTGGGGAGAGCTGCGGAGTTTGTTGCTCACGCAGAGCCCCTCTGTTTGCCGTACCCAAATTACGGAGGGTGCCTGGCGGGCTCATCTCCAGGGCTCACAGACGGACAGCTGCCCGCCAATTAATCCTGGCTTTTAAGAAGTGAAGTGAGGAAAAGATTGCCATGCGTATGCAGACAGAGCTACAGCAAACGGAAGGTTTTTTTTAACCCTGTATCACTTGGGATCCACTACCCGCGGGAGGAAGGACACAGCTGAGGAACGTGCCTGAAGCACCAGTGTTACCTGTCAGCGTGGTCAGCTGCTGGCGTCTGATGGAGCAGCTG